GATGGATGATGGATGGATGGATGATGGATGGATGGAGGATCCCAGGGCCCTTCCTTGAGCTTTGGCTCAAACCAGCTAACCAGAAATCCTTTACTATGGCCATAGCACTAACCTAGGTCCTGAGATCAGGCCGTCTCCATTCCTATCCTCAAAGAGTGTCCGGTCTAGCGATGGAGACCAGGTTATCAGACATGAGCCAATACAGTCAGGCTCTGAGTGTGATGCTGGGCAGACAGGGATGGATGCAATACAGGTACTCCCCCAGGGACATCAAGGAAGACACTAGACAAGGCCAGTCAGGAAGACACTAGACATATGCGCAAATAGCTTAAGTATAAAGAACCACGGCGGAGAGGCATTACTCCTATCAGCAGGGACATGGGGGCTCTGGGGGAGCTAGAAATAGGGTCCCATTTGACCAGATTTAGTAGGTTTAGATATGAGCACTTCAGCCCCCACTCCAGCCCCAAAAAGCTTTAAGTAAAGGCACTTGATATAGAAAATTCCAAGATTAAGAAAGAGACAAAGTTTGGCGGTCAGAAGGTACATAAGGTTGAACATTGGACTCGAACCAGATCGTATCCATTCCTGAATCCCCAGCTGAGATGTGTGACCTTTCTTCTGGGAGCAGTGGGGAGCCACCGAATGTTTTATGATCAGAGCTAACAGGACCAGAGGAACCTGACCAGAGCAACGATCGGGATGGAAATTGGGGGCGTCATGGAGTGTGGAGTGAAGTGGGAGGGGCCCAGATTCAGGGACGGCAGTTCGACCTGCGTTCCCAACGCTGAACTAGAACGGGTAGCAGGGTTGTTTGGGGGCCAAATGAAATGACTTATGTGAAGGGGCTTTGAATCATTGTAGAATGCTAATTTGTTACACATTCTGGTAACCAGGACAGAAATAAATAGACACTCCCTCTACCCCCCAGTCAGTCTGGCCAATGCTATGGTAATAGAAGCCCAGGGTATTTCAGGAACACCCCACCCAGTCTGGGGCTGGAGGGCAGGGAAGGCTTCTTGGAGACAGCATTTCAGCTGGGACCCACACCTAGCCTAGGAAAGAGGATGGAACTGGCCCAGGGAGAGAGGGTGGTGCATCAGACCTGTCTGTGCAAAGGCCCTGAGGTGTGTGGGGCAGGGTGAGGGCGGGGCGGGGGGGCAGGACCAGCTGGAAGAACCAGGGGTGAGTGCGAGACGGGTGGGGTTAGAGGGACCAGCAGCCAGGCTGAGGCCGTGCACCGTGGCTGAGAGTTGGGGCCTTCTCCTAAGTGCCGTGGGTGGTGGGCCCCACTTCTGGCCAGTCGGCGGCATCTTACCTGCCGTTTCCATCTGCCCACAGCTACCGGACCCTGGCCACAGAGCACGAAGCCCTGATGCAGAAGTACCTGCACCTGCTGCAGGTGGTGGAGACGGAGAAGACCGTGGCCAGGCAGCTGCGGCAGCAGATCGAGGATGGCGAGATGGAGATCGAGCGGCTGAAGGCAGAGGTGACTGCCAGCCGGGGCCCACCCCCAACACCACTCCCACAGGCTCCTGCAGGGTCGGGGGCTCAGCTCCCAGCCACAGCCATGCCAGCCGCCAAACTTACAATCAGGGACCCCAGCTGAGTGAGGGAGGTCCTGTAGTCAGATCTGGGTTCAGATCTAACCACTCGGACGTAAAGCTGCACCCCAGAGTGAGCCCCCCCCCCCAAGCTCTGAGTGCCTCCTCTTCTCACAGGTTTTTCATACCCGCCCCTCCAGGCCGTTGTTTATGACCCAGTTCCTAGGTTCTGTGCCTAAGAGCACACGCTCTCCAGGCTCTGGGGGACACAGGGTCCCGGGCAAGTCAGGAGGGTGTGGGCTCCCGGCTCAGCGCCCAGCAGCCTTTGCCCTCTGCCTGTCGTGATGGGAGCGCCTACAGGGACTCACCAGGCACGGGTGACTAGGTGAAGCCTTCTAGAACTTCACTACACCAGGTGTGCTCCATGAAGCAGCAGCTCTCAGGCCTGCCCCCGACCTTCTCAATAGAATTTGCACTTTAGCAACACCCAGGTGAACCTCATTTCATTAAAGCTTGGGGGGCTGGCTGTGAGTCCCTTCGATGCCTCTCACCAGCTGTCAACTCCCCCCCCCCATAGAACAGTCTGATTGCTTCTCACCCCTCACCTCACCACTGTGCTCAGAACCGTTTGGCCACATCACACAAGGCCCGTGGACTCAGAGCTGAGGGGGGGGGAATGGAAACACGGACTCCTGCACTCAGGGTTGGCCACCGGATTTGCAGGGCCCGATGCGAGGTGAAAATGTGAGACGCTGGCCGCAGCCAGGGAATCAGCCTCCCCTTCTCACAGCCCACCATGCCAACCCTCCACCCTAACCTCTGCACCACGATGCACTCGGCGCCTAGATAAGGGGTCCAGGAGCCCTGCTGAGTCACCCACCTCATGCACCAGGCACTGGCTGAAGTTGCCAGTCTCACCTTGTGCAGAACTAACGGTAACATCAGCTTGGAACTTCAGGTTCAACAAAACTTTCAGATTCAAGTCCCCTCCCCTAGCTCCCACCAGGCACCTCCAGACATGCTTACTGAGCCCCCACAACCATCCCGATTCCACACGGGAACCAGGCTCAGAGAGCTCAAGTCGCCTGTCCGAGCCCACACAGCCGGAGGTGGCAGAGCCGGGGCTGGAACCCGGGGCCGCCTGCCTGCTTGAGAGGCCCTACTCTCCTCTGTGGACGGGGGCTTGTCCCGTCTCTAGACCGCCTGGTTCATTCTGGATCCAGTCCCCCTCTGGAGACAACCCGGGCTCTATCCTAGCCCAGGTGTGTACCCGAGTCCAAGCTGAGCCCCTGTGAGGCACCAGAGGTCTGGCCCCAGTACCAGGGTGTCCAGTGTCCCTCCCTCTCTCTGCCTCCGTCACCAGAGCTCTGCCTCGCCCACTTCCAGGCTCCTCTCCCGTCACCCAGTCTCTTGTCAGTGCCCAATGGCTGTGAGCCGGCCACCTCCTGGCCTGCGGATGTGCTGGCACTCCTGTTGGGACTGCGCTTGTCACCCCCACATGTCCCTGCCTGGGGACTCCCTCCCCCTGCTCCCACACTCAGCACGTCACACCAGAGCCGCTGCACGTGTGTCTGTTATCCCACCTGGCTGGCCGGGAACTCCTTGAGGGCAGGGCTGTCCTTTATCACTCTCTCCCTTGTGCGCAGCACACAGTAGGTGCTCAGTAAGGGCTTGATGAGGGAATGGACATCAGGCTCTGTGGTGGGCAGTAGAGATGTGGCTGTTTCTACCCTGGAGGTCTGACTGTGTGTGGTGCATGGAGCTTAGTGTGGACCCGAGTCGGGATGTGAGTCACCTGAAGGCCAGAGTGGGCGTGGCTTTATGCTGCACGCAGCCTTAAAGTCTTTCAGGGGTTTGTAGGGCAGAGAAAGGACAGTGCAAGTGCTGGGAGCACACAGCACGCCAGTGATGAGAACGTGTGTGCACGCGTGTGACAGAGGGGGCAGAAGCAGTGCTTCCAGCGGAGTGCGTTACCCTCGGGGCAAAGGTTGTTTTATTTATTATTATTATTTTTAAGATTTTTATTGGGGAATTGGGGGATGGGAACAGCGCTGGGGAATTGGGGGAAGGGGAACAGACAAGTTGCTGTCCTTTTGTTCTTCAGTCTAGTTGTGGAGGACGTTGCTTCACTGGCCCAAGTTGGCACCATCATTGCGCTCTTCCCGGGCGAGGCAGATCAGTCGCCGGCCTCTGGACGGCCGCTCACTGCTGCTGCTGGCCGCTCACGCTGGCTGCTGGCTACACACGGTAGCCCATGGCAACCCACTGCAGCAGGGGCTGCAGCCTACGCGGTCGCCGGCAGCCCAGCTCCAGGATGAGCTGTTGTTCAGCATCTTAGCTGTAGAGGGCAGCGTCACTGGCCCTCATATGTGGGATCTGAACCGGGGCCCTCTGGCGTCCCAAGCCAGTTCTTACCCAATGCACCACTCGGCCAGCCCAAAAGGTTGTTTTAAAGGAGACTAAAAGAAAGACCAGCTTGGTGAAGCTTCCAGGCTCCGGTCTCTCACACACACACATCCTGCAGGCACAGGGCATCTGCTTGCTCTGGGTGGGCTCCAGAAATAGGAAATACTTCCTATTTCCCAGGAAGTAGGCCATCAGGCGGCAGGAGGCACTGAGAAGCCAAGGAAGTGACGAGTGACCCCATGACAAAGAGGGTCTTAGAGGGTCAGAGCTGGGAGGGCTCTAAAGGCCCTGAGGTCCACCGAGGAGGGGACGTATCCAGGGCGACCTCCAGCGCTGGAGGCTGGGCTGATTTGGACCTACAAGCTCACCCCGGTGGCCTGGGCTCCCTTGCAAGTTACCCCTCTCCCACTGAGGAGGCAGCGATAAAAGGGGACATGTTAGGGAATGGCCGTCACCTGCATGGCCCAGGCCCTTGTGGCCCAGTTCTCCTCTGAGAGGCAAAGAGCACTCTGCAGGCCCCACTTACTCCTGAGGACTCCCTGGGGATCCCGTTCTCCTGCTACCTCTGTGCTCTCAGATTCTGCTCCCCTGACTGGTCGCATCACTGCCCACAGCGGCCGTATCCACTCAGTCATCACGGCTCTTTACCTCTGGGCGGTCGGCACGTGTACCTGTCGGGAAGCACTAGGTTACGCTGCCATGACAAACAACCCCGACATCCGGGCGGCTTCAAACAGCAAAGGCTGCTTCCTCAGTCACTCAGAGTCCAGGAGGCGTGCTGCTGGGGCTCCCACCAGGAGAAAATTCCCGTCTCACGTCCGGGGAGACAAACACAGCCACGGATGTGGGACACCTCTGCTCACTGCTCAAGTCCCATGAGCACGGCCGGGTTCTGGGGCCTGGGGGATGTGGTCCTGCCATGTCTGAGGAGGAGACCCAGTGTCAGCGAAAGCCCTGGTGGCTTCCTGCTGTCGATCCTCCTTCCGTCCCCAAGCCCCCGACACGGGCCTGTGGGAAATAACGGACTTTCTGAAAGGTGTGGACATGACAGAGAGGGGGCTTCCACACTGAAACCGAAACCGCTTAAACATGAAGAGAAGGCATCCTGCCTCATGTTACTCAGCCTTTCCTGCCACAAGGGTTCCTCGTGGCCCCTGTCCCCACACCCCTACGCTGCACCCAGTGATGTGCGGGAGTTGCTCGGAGCTGTTTGTTCCCGCTTGCAAGAGCCAATCGCTACATTTGCAAGAATCTGCAAGCTAGTTATTCAACCGGCGGTGGCTTAAAATGGGCCAAGTAGGACCATGCACACCACAGACACTGGCGCGTGCTACCAACCATTTCTCTTTCAGAGACCTACTCATTGAGTGCAAACCAATATACCACCGTCTGCATCTTCTCTCAGGACCAGCTGCATAATTTGCAGGCCCGCTGCAAAATGAAAACACGGGGTCCTTGAAGATTTCGGGGTTAGCCACAGCAAAGCCTTACACCACGCACTGGGCCTTCAAACCCTGGGGCTCTGCCCAGGTCACACGTCCTGGAAACAGCTCTGTCTCGACTCCCTCCGTGCTCTCCAGCCGTGGGGCTCCCACCTCTGGCATCTATCCCTGGACGTAGCAGGGGATCAGGCCAGACTGAGGTCTGCATGGAACTGAAGTCTCTTTTCTGCCCTCTGAACAACACCATCAGGCCTCACTGCCCATAACCAACAGCTCCAAAGACCATCTGACACAAAGGGGGCATCTGCCTCTGAAAAGAAGCCTGCTATCCTTGGGGCACTCGGGGTGGCACCTAGCCATCGCGTTAGCAGCTCCTTTTCTCCCCTGTATGGCTGAAGGCAAACCTGGGGAACTATGGCAGGCCCTAAAGGACAGGAGTTTATAGAGAGTCGTAATGTTTTACTGGCTCGGAAGCACTCGGAATCCTGCATGGCGAACTGGAAGAAACTGCACATCTTTAGTTCGGGGTTTACAATAAAACTTCAGCCACGAGGTCAGTTTTCAAACAAACTTTGACATGGACCCCAACATATAAAACAGTGCAATGAGGGGCCTGATCTGCGGATTACGGAAGAAGGCGCCTTCCCCAGGAGGTGCCTCCCCAACTGGCCTTACCAGGGCCCACCCCCTGTGAGTCCTGCGTCCCACCTGTCCTACCCACTCTCACCCCTGCTGCCACTCCATACACAACACCCTGCAGGACCCTGCACCTTTGTTCACACCATCCCCTCTGCTCGAACTTCTTCCATCCCATAGCTACCTGGTGGGCTCCTATTTGTCCTTCAAAACCTCTTCTGAAAAGCCCTTGCCGCTTCCGTGCTGAGACCCTCCCACTGCAGTAGGTGTGCGTCTCGGTTCTGGCCTTGCCTTGTTGGATTATAAATTGTCTCTGTGGGTGTCTGACCGTCTCTTAGGCTGGAAGCTCCTCCAGGGACGGGATCGGACTCCTTCACCTCCAGCTCTGTGGCACCAGTGCCAAGGACAGGGGTTGCTCTGTGGCAACCCCGCCAGGACATGCTGATGGGTCAGGACAAAGGGAGACAGAGGTGGGAGTCTGCTGGGCTTGGACAAGGCCACAGGGAACGGAGAAGGAAGGACAGAGACCTGAGTTATGTGTCAGCTGGTTGAAAAGCAAGAAATGCAGAGCTCTTCAGCAAAACCTTGGCTGCTAACAGAAAGAAAAACCCTGGATCAATTCCACCACCAATTCTCGCACTGACTGAATGCAGCCTGGATTAAAGGAACTGTCTGCAGAGGGGGCAGTGGGGTGGGGCAGCAGCTGATGGGCAGTGCCCCAAAGGGTGTGGCAAACAGGGGTCAAGGAAGCCAGGCTGCAGGTGGCCAGGCTCAGAGGCAGGGTGGGCACCCAGGGCTAGATGCCAGCCTGCGCGCTGGGGTGTGAGCCCAAGTCCCACCTCTCCACGGCCACCACTGACAAGGGTCAACTCAGCACGTCCTGGACGTCAGCCAAGCAAAGCAGGGTCCAAGGCAAACCCATCCCAAAGGACCTGCCAGGGTTAGCAGAGGCTGCCCCATGAGGTCACCAGGGCCAGGCTCCAGCCTCGTAGGGGTGGCCCATGGTCCAGGGCTCCGGGAGGGCGCACAGGCCCACAGCTCTGCCCCCGGCCGGACCCTTCAGTAAAGGCTCCGAGCCTGCCTGTGCGTGTAGCCCAGTGCTGGCCTAATTGCATCGAGTGTCTGCCCTGGTCCCCACTGAGTAGGTGTCCTGGAATGCCTCTCTCTGAGAACAGCGCCATCCGTTTTAAACACAGACTCCTTACACACACACACACCGCCAACTAAAGGGAAAAGGTACATGTGCAAATCCCACAACTGGCAAAGAAAGTGACTGGCGTGGAGGTGATAACATCAGGCCAACGGCGGGGGTGTTGACTGGGCACGCCCGTGTCTCTGCACTCTCCAGGAGTGTGTGTGTATGTGTGTATGTGTGTGTGTGTGTGTGTGTGTGTGTGTGTGTCCCTCAGCCCTTGATCAAAGAATGGGCCTTTATTTCAATGTGCAAATGCTCTCAGAGAATCAGAAAAGGGGTGGGGGGGAGGCGGGGGAGCCCCCAAGCGTGTGGGCACTGAGTATTTCTCACTTAGATATTTTCAGCCCCTCTTCAAGCACCGCCGGGTAATTTTAGCAACCCTGGGAGTGGAGAGCTGTAACTGTTCCATTTTGCTTTCAAAGTGCTCCTTTCGCTCAATTGTGAGAGCCCATTCATTCTGCGGTTCAGCAAGTGGCCTTGAGGGGACAAAGCCACGTGCTCTGAAGAGGGAGCATGGCTTGTGGCAGTGTTTGCAGGTTCCCGAGCTGCTATCTTTAGATGTGTGGGGCTCGGTGATGGTGGTGTTTTCCTGTGCTTGAGGGTTTTGTTGTCCTGGGTTTTTTTTTTTAATTCACCTATTAGTGTGGCCAACAAGAGTAGGTTGAGTGCCCAGCCCCACGCCAGGCACAGAAGGACGTTAATGGGTGTGGCAGCTACAGTCCTCCCCCAACAGAACTCACAGCAAAGATGGAAACTACACAGGCGACGGAGCATTTGAGCGTTTGAGGCAGAATCCACAGTGCGGCCGAAGCCCCGTGAAGAGCACGCAGCAAAGACTTGCAGACTCGGGGCTGGTGGGAAGGGGCCCCTGGGGAGGTCGCAGCCCTGCCCTGTTCACCAGAGGAATGCCAGGGCCCCCGGCTCTGTGGACCTCCCTGATCCCCAAGTCAGGCAGATGGAGATTTTTACAGCAGCTCAAATGTTCGTTCCCAGGGCTGTCCCATTTTCCAGGCCAGCAGTTTCTAGGTCATGCCCCAAAGGGGCCTCCAGGTCACAGCTGCCCGAGGGGAGAGGGACAGCCATGCTCGTGGGACTACGCCCCAGCCACCTGTGTTCTCCCACGACGAGGGTAGGCTTCCATGTGGCTGGTTTGGAAAAATAAAGGGACTCCCAAGTGTCCATCGGTAGATGAATGGATAACACAACATGGTCCCTACAGACTGTGGACTATTTCTCAGCCTTCAAACGGAAGCATATTCTGACACCTGTACAACATGGATGGACCTGGAGGACGTTATGCCGAGCGAAACAAGCCAGTCACAGTCACAAAAAGACGAACTCTGATCCCACTCGAGGAGGTCGCTGAGGGAGTCGGAGTCAGGGACAGAAAGTAGATGGTGGTTTCCAAGGGCAGGGGAGGGGGCGGCGAGTTTAACAGGGACAGCTTTTCCCTCTGGGAAGATGAGAAAGTTCTGGAGACGATGGTGGGAACAGCCGCACAGCAATAGACTAATGCCACTGAGCTTTGCACTTAAAACTGGCTAAAATGGGAAACTTCATGTTATGTATATTTTACCACAATAAAAATCCAAAAATAAAGGCACAATGATTGTGGAGCAGAGAGGAGCATCCCAGGTATAAGTCAAAGGTCCCAGGTCACAGAGGGTGCCTGCAGCCCAGAGCGCGGAGGGGCCTTGCCTGAGGTCACTCAGGGCCAGAGCCCAGCTGCCCGGGACCCAGGTGGAGAGGTGCTTACGCACGGACGTCTGGGTCAGTGCCACCCACAGAGCGAGGGGACTGAGCTGCGGGGCCCCTGGGGAGGACGCAGCAGGGGCTCAGACCCCACACAGTCCTGGTGGCCATGCCCCTCTGTGCAGCTGACCTGTGTTTCTGTTGCAGATTGCATCCCTGCTCAAGGACAATGAGCGCATCCAGTCCACCCAGACTGTCACCCCCAATGATGAGGACAGCGACATCAAGAAAATTAAGAAGGTTTGTACCATCGCTCCGGGCTGTACGACCGCCCCAGCCCCCTGTAGAAACCCCCCAGACGCAGCCCAGAGACAGCAGTGTCCACCTCCTGTCCCACTGCACCACGGCATGCCACCCCCACCTCAGCTCCAGAGAGAGAGCCAGGAGCCCCCACCCCTTAACGGGATAGTGCCCGTTAAGCCATCTCTCCTGATTGTCCCAGTGAGGAGTGTGGCTCAGCCCATTTCACAGGTAAGAAAACTGAGCCTCCACAGGAGGAAGGCTAAGAACCCAGGCGGTGAGACTCTCAGCCGAGAGCTGTCCTAACAGGGGCCTTGACCAGACCCTCCCCCCGCAGACCACCTCCCCGAGGTCATGCCCTTGCGTGATCCCTCCCTGTTATGCAAACACTTCCTCACAACTGCCCCCTCTGGGCCCCAGCAGATCTCAGCATAAGACCCCACAGTTGCTGCCGCTGGTTTGGCCCTGTTAGAATTCAGAGGAAGAGACACCTCAGAGGGTACCGGGACTCTGGCCCGTGGCCGCCCCGTGGCGGGCGCGGAGGGAAAGGGGGTGCTCCGTGTTCCCAGCTGGCCAGGTTTGAAGCTGGGGAGCCTGACTCACCGTAAGAAAAACAAGTGAGACCAGACAACCCCACTTGCTGGGAGGGCAAAGGGACCCCAATGCCACCCAGACCAGAAACTGCAGGCTGGCACCCCGCAGGCCAAGTGCAGCCTCTCGGCGGGTTTGGATTTCAGGGCCCGCACATTGTTTTTCTTTTTCTTTTTCATTTGTTGCCAGTGCTTCAAAAGCTAAACATTTCACATAAGAATCTAGATTTCTGGTTTCTCAAAAATAAAAATAGCTGCCATTCATGAAGCACTTTCCTAGTGCCAGACACTATTCCAGGAGCCTCATGCGGATGAATTCATGCCTAACTACAAAACAAGCCCTCTGAGGTTTTCTCATCTGCACGTCACACGTGGGGAACTGAAGTACAGAGAGGCAAAGCCACTCGCCCGGGTCACACAGCTAAGTGTTTGCAGAGCGACCTTTAAAACCTGGACACCGAGCTCCACAGCCCACACCCTCAGTCCCCAGGACACACCACATCCTGGAGAGGGAGAAGGCCCCACAGCCCTGAGCCCACTACCCACCCAGTGGGCCCAGGGGAGGTGGTGGGGTCCCCACCCAGCCGGCTTCATGCACGTGTAGGACTTGCCAGGCGCCCATGGACACTGGGATTTGCCCCCCAGGTCCAAACCAATTCCCAACAGGCAGGGACACCCTGGAGGCCCTGTTCTGCTGTGGCCCCACCGGGCCCCATTTTGAGACGCCATTCTGGCCGGAACATCTGGTTAAGGGCCAACTGAACTGCCCTCCTTCCCGCTATTTCACCCTCCGGGGGCCTCAGAGCAAGGCGCTCCCTTGTAAGAACGCCTTCCTGTCTTCAAAGCGAACCGGGGCGCTCAGGCCTGGTGGCTCCTCTCCAGGGACCCCCCAGGTCCCCCCACCCCCCGCCAGGGCCGGAGCTCGCAGCAGCTCAGCTCAGGGATGGCAGGGAGCTGGGTGGCGCCTTGGTTAGGAGCAATTCTGTGCCACGAATCAAGGCCCTTTCCCAAGTTCCTGCAGAAACGAGGCCACGCCAGGCAGCCCGACTCGAGTCAGGCCAGGCGACAGCAGTGTCATCTCCCCGTGGCGGCTGGAGGGGCGGCTCCAGGCCTGAGATGAACTAATTTGCCATCTTCCGTTCAATTTGATAATTGCCCTCTCCCCAGAGGAGCTGTGATGGAGACTTCTGGGCTCTCAGGCCAGCGACTAGACAAAAAGAGGTGTGAGCCGTGCCCAGCACGGCCTGGCACCCTCTGTCCTCGCCCACCTCCCATTCTGAGGCGGGGGCCACGCTCTCCCCTGTCAGACAAGCTTCTAAAGCAGCCGGGGGCGGGTGTCTTGTAAACACGCAGGGGCCTGGGCATCTGCATTTCTCACCTGCTGTGCTGACCGTCCCCGGACATCACATGAGCCCAACGTCACCTCAGCCCAGGTGTGCAGATGGGAAAATGGGCTCAGAGGGACCCGACGCCTTCCCGGGGCCCGTCTGCGCTCTGGTCCCTCACGCCCAGCGTGGGGGGTGACACGCCACCAAGCTTCGCTTCCCGGCCTGGAAGGGCGGAGGAGAGGCACTGACCCCCCCGCCTGCCGTGTGGCCCCAGGTGCAGAGCTTCCTGCGGGGCTGGCTGTGCCGGCGCAAGTGGAAGACCATCATCCAGGACTACATCCGCTCGCCCCACGCCGACAGCATGCGCAAGCGCAACCAGGTGGTGTTCAGCATGCTGGAGGCCGAGGCCGAGTACGTGCAGCAGCTGCACATCCTGGTCAACAACTTCCTGCGCCCGCTGCGCATGGCCGCCAGCTCCAAGAAGCCCCCCATCACGCACGACGATGTCAGCAGCATCTTCCTCAACAGGTGAGCATCCGCAGGCGGGCCCCATCGCGGCGCCGTGGCCAAGGCGCGGGGGAGGGGATTCGGCGGCGCGGGCCTGAGGTCGCACCTAAGCCCCCATCCAGGCCCCACCAAGCGCAGGTGGGGAAACTGAGGCCAGAGAGGAAAGAAGGGGCCTGAGGTCTGGGGGCTGGAAGCCACGCCCCCAACAGCGGCAGTTCCGCCCCCACCCCCAGGGGACATTTGGCAATGTTTGGGGACATTTCTGATTGTGGAAACTTGGCTGGGTTTGGGGGGGCTGCTGAAATCTCTGAGTAGAGGCCAGGGATGCTGTTAAATGTCCTACAGGGCCCGGGATAGGCCCCACCACAAAACATTATTCCACCCAAAATGTCAGTGGCGCCCGGGTTGAGAAGCCCTGGTTTAAATGTTAAGAGCTACGAGCGAAGCTACAGACAGCTAAATATGTTCCACTCTTGTAGCCTAAGGTCGTCATGATGACCAGGAGGTCGGTTTCACATTTGAAATTCTTAGGCCCCTTCAAGTCGGGCTCTGGACTGCTCGAGCCACATACTTTATAAAAGCAGCAACTTTTCGCAGGTGGTAACTCTGGGCATGAACACGGGGTTGGCAATATGTCAGGGGCTGAGCTGAGCTGACCTGCTCTTCTGCTGTCAACCTCTTTTTAGAAGAATCTTCCTAGGAAATGGGTTAAACAACTGAGCTTTTCGGTGAGGGTAATATAATTGAGCAAACTAGATCAAAGCAACAGACACGAAAACATAGGAGCTGAGTGCTATTGACCCCCGAGTCGCACAGCTCCATCTCTGTGCCCCGACGGGTCCCTTCAACTGCATTTCTTTTTAAAATGGTCACCATTCAGTCACTTCAATCATTCTAACCAGCCCCTCATCGAGGCCCACAGCATGGCTGCTGGAGACCTAGGGTCCCCGTCACTGCACCCCTCTCTCCCCTTCTTCTGCCTGTGTGGCGGTGAGTTTGAGGGGGCTGTAGGACATCCCGGGAGGAGACAGGAGGCAGGGGATGTGGGTCACAATGGGTCTGACGCCCGGAAGAGAGATGGCGCTCAAGAGGCTAGATGTCGTGGGACAGGACCGGGCTGACACAAAGATGGAGATGAGGCATCCGAATGCGGGGACAGAGAGGGGTGCAGGGGAGCAGCTTTTGGCCTCAGAGCGTTGGGCTGGGGAGAAGCCGTGCGCAGAGAGGAGGCCGTCTTGGAGCCAAGTCCCCTGCCAGGCCCGTGCCAAGGCCTGTTTCCCCTTCTCTACAAGGGGCCCGTGTCCTCAGCCCCATCGACCCTCATCACCATAGTGGCAACCTGATCAAGTCTTAAGGCTTCCAGAGTGTGGGCTCTAGCAGTCACCAGAAACACCTGCCCCAGGAATGGTGCCTCCTCTTAGAGGTCTCAGAGGGGCAAAGGAGAGCCCAGCTTGTCCCCAGTGCTCAGTGCGAGCCAGACAGTATAACAGTAAGGTCCACATTCGAATTCAAGTCTAAAGTGGAGGCGAACGTCCCATCTCACCCAATGGCCGGCATCAGTCGGTTACCAAAACCAGATGACACTGAGAAAACTACAAACCGAGATCCCTCATGGTCGTAGATACAAAACATCACCAAATTGAATCCATTAAACATATGAAAATGATACGACCTCAAAACCAAGCAGAATGGATCCCAGGAATCCAAGGGTCAGCATCAAAGATCAATTTGTGTCTTTTACTGTATTTTCTTACTGCATTAAGTAAGAAAAACCTGTGATCAGCTCAGGGACGCTGATCATGGGCTCTGGTCTCCCTCCTCCCCTGCCAGGGTAGGGGTGAGACGAGCTAAAATTAACGGCCTTGGGGTCACCCTACCTCCCTGTGCTATTGTCGGGTCCGGGTACAGCATAAGCTTCACCATCTTAACCCCGTTTTGCAGGAGTATAAAAAGCAGCTGGGGTGATTTTTTTCGTTAGCCTTCTAACAGCCCCTAGAAGGCTAACACCATGCAGGGCGCATGCTTGGAGGGCACTCACCACGGTAAGGGGCCGCTTTGTGGGACCTGCTTTGTGCCAGGCTCCCTGTCAGCACGTGGCCTGCGTGGTTTCCAATCCTCAGCCGGCACCGAGGCTCAGAGAGGTGACGGGATGTGCTCAAGGGCACACAGCAACTAGGGAGGGCCGCGGTTTGAAGGGCTGTGTTTCCTGTTAAGCCGGGTCCCCCTCAGCCCGCTCCTGGGCTCCCGTCAGCATGGGTCAGGCCTGCACGCCCCCACCGTGCATGTGAAAGTGCTGTGGAGGCGAGCCCCTGGGTCTCCCGGCCACGGCCCCGGCCCTGGCCCCGGCACAGTCTGCGTATCATGCCTGAGCCAAGGGCAGAGGCTGCCGGCCCCCCTTCTAATATAACAAGGCATTTCTGGCACAGCTTTCCTCAAACCTGAGGCTAATGTGGTGATTTCCTTTGCTGGGGCTCATTATAAGAAGCCCCTGGGAAGAGAGAGGCCTCCCTCCAGGTTGGCTGGGCAGGGGTTACCTGCGTGCTTCTCGAATGGGAGGTGGCAGCCTTGTGTAGCCAAGACAATGAGCTTACAGACTTGGAGCATTTCCCTTCATAAAAGTTAGGCCCAGTGACACGTGCTGGGAACAGGTGGTTTGTATTGTGATGCCCACTCTGATTGGCAGTGGCTGCAGAAGGATGAAACCAAGTGGCCGAGCGCGCCACCACTAATTCGTCATGTCTGCGTGGGCTGGAGTGAGGAGGGGCGGGCGTTTGCACCCGTGAGGAGAAACTGGCCATAGGCAGCAGGCTGGCTCTACCTGTCTACCTGGCACTGGCCTTGGGCAGGTCACGCCCCTTCCCACATATGTCCTGCAGACGACACTGCCTCTCCCTGGAACACTCGTCCCACCCAGCTTTCCTCCCGCCACCCAACTGCTCGCGCTTTACATCCTTCCTCAGATGTCACGTCCGATGCTCCCGTGCTCCGTGTCACCACTGGCTTACGTTCCCAGGGCCCCTTTTGTAGCACTCACCACACTTAAATGTTGATTTCGTTAGTGTCTGGGTCCTCTGCTGGACTATAAATGTGCTGTGGACAGACGCAGGCCCATAAAGCACAGCTGTGCCCGCTGTGCACGGCACAATTCACGGACTCTAGTCACGTAGCCTGGGGATCAGCCGACTTCTTCTGCAAAGGGCCAAAGAGTCAATGTTTTAGATATTGTAGGCCACACAGTCTCCCGTCAAAACTCAGCAGTCAATCCATAACCCAGTGAGTTCCAATACAACTCTACGTAGGAACACGAAAATGTGAGTTGTACATAATTTTCACATATCATGAAATAGTCCTTTGATTTTTTTTTCAACCATTTAAAAATGTAAAACCCTTCTAAGCTTGCAGTTCGTACAGAAACAGACTGGGCCAGCATGCTGATGGGAGGGTTCCCTGTCATAAAGATGTTATTCTCACCCAAAATGTTCTGTAAGTTTAAAGTAATTCCAATCAAAGTAGTCTCGCAAAATGAGTTGAAAGTTCAACTGAAGGAATAAATACATCTAAATAGATATTGGGTTGTCGGAAAAGTCATGACGCATTTTTGCAACGAAAAACATAGAAAAAATATGTCATGACTTTTCCGGCAACCCAATAACAATGTTCTGAAAAGAGAACAATGAAAGAAATGTTCCCTCCTTACAATTAAAAGGTAAAGGTTTATAAATACATTACGAATAATGAACTAGAGCGACCGGTAGATCATCAAAATGAAATAGTCAAAAAACAGACATAAGGGGCCAGCCGAGTGGCACGTTGGTTAGGAGTTGGCTTAGGACGCCAGCTCTGAGCAGCAGGGCCCGGGTTCTGATCCTACATGAGGGCCAGTGATGCTGCGCCCTCTACAGCTAAGATGGTGAACGACAGCTCGACCTGGAGCTGGGCTGCCATGAGTCGCCGGTGTCGGCATAGTCTGCAGTGGGGCTGGCCGGCAGTGGGTGTGAGCTTTGGTGAGCCTCCATGAGTGTCCATCCAATGGCCGGCAAGCTACTGCCTCAGCCGGGAAGAGCGCAATGATAATACCAACTTGGGCCAGTGAAGCAACGTCCTTCACAACTAGACTGAAGAACAAAAGGACAGCAACTTGTCTGTTCCCCTTCTCCAATTTCCCAACGCTGTTCCCCTCCCCCAATTCCCCAATAAAATCTTTTTAAAAATTTCACACACAAAAAACCCAGACCTAAGGATATATGAAAATTCAGTAACTGAAATGGTAGCCTGGCAGCTGGCGTATTTGACAAATAGAACAGGGTAGTCGGCGAATCAAATGGGGAAGGATTATGTTTATATCCCTCGTTCACAACTTACACCAGAGTAAACTCTAGTGAAGTATTTCTATGTCAGACGGAAGTGGGGACAGAGCTGTGTGTGTGCACGCCAGGAGTGGGGGAACACATGCTGCCCCACACCAAAAGCAGAAGGAAAATGGAGACACTTCCAAGAAACACCAACATGATCAGTGGGCAAATAGCTGAGCAAGAATGTCTATGGTGGTATGTGTTTATGATACAGATGTTATTTAAAAGTCGTGAGAGAGAAAAAATAGTAAACGGACATAACCAGTCAATTCCCAGAAGAAGACATTCCAATGGCCAATACATATCAACCCCCACCACCAAAGATGATTCTTTTTTTAAGCAAATCCAATCAAAATGAGACGGGTGTTTTCTTGTTGGAGGGGTAGCAGTGGTTGTTTCTGAGGAGTAGGATCGCAGGTGAGACCCTCACAATCTATCCCTTAAAGATGGAGGCTTCGTTGACTATATTTATTATAGCTCTAGCTTAGGACATTTGTCACTCGCTCTCCCCCCCGGGTCCCTGGGGCACCCCCGGCAGGTGGGGCATGAGGGGCATGGGAGACCGGGCAGCTCCCCTCCTCGGGCAGCTCCCCTCCTCTGCCTCCCTGCCCCGGGCCGGACTAGCGACCCCAGGGACAGAAGGGCCCTGCTGCCATGGGCTTTCATAACGGGGCTCTTGCACGCCCCGTCTGCACTGGGCCATCCTGCTGCTGGGGTTCTCACAGGCCTCACTGCCCCTGCCCTCTGCCGGGGACCCTCAGCTCCGCTGGACCTGGGGGAGGCGCAGGCACCCCCCAGCCACACCTCACCCCCGTTTCTCTTCCAGCGAGACCATCATGTTTCTGCACCAGATCTTCTACCAGGGGCTGAAGGCGCGCATCTCCAGCTGGCCCACTCTGGTCCTGGGTGAGTCCCCAGCCTCTCCTGCCCCACCCCCACCTTCCAAGACCCTCTCCAGTCTGGAGGCACTTTCCGCCTTCCAGAATGAAACAGAGTGGCCCCTGAAAAGCCCACAGGATCCCCTCGGAGGGAGCCCAAGAGGAAAGACCAGTTGGCAGAAGCTCTGTTTCTAGGAGGAAGCGAAACGTTTTTAGTTCCTTATCTGCATTTCACGTTTAAAAATACTATCTACGTACCCATTTGAGAAAATTTGACAATCCAGAAAAGCAGAAAACATTTAAAAATATCAGCCATAGTTCTGCCTCCCCAAGATACCGCTGTAAACACGGGCGTTTTCTTCCAGTTTTGCTCTGTACATCTGGGTACTCTTTTCCCACTTTACATCACCGCGAACATACCGAAGACAGCGTTTGAATCTTGCTGTGGGTTTATTTTTAACTTCGCATTCTAGCGTGTTTTCTCACGCTGAACGTGTGCCAGCTCCCCACTGTATAACGCTCCCGAACCCGCAAGTGTGGGCTTGTCAGCGAGGTTGCCGTAGGTCCAGCCCATCCCATCGAGAGCGGAAGGGCAGGTCTGAGAGTCCAGGGCTGAGGACCCACCTCACTGAACCAGAGGTGCAGAGCTGGGGCTCTGGAAGGTCAAGGACAGAGACTCGGGAGGGTGTGCCAGGGAACACCTGGGAGGGGGCGTGCTCCCAGGCCACAGACAGACTCGCCTTATGACCTCACCTGGGTGGCTGTCACAGGTGGGACGCTGGGAGGGGCCTCTTGGAGAGCCCTCAGCATTACACTGTGGGGGGGCCTGGACAGAGGGGAATGGGGCTGCAATGCAGTTACAACCGGGGCTTTGGCTGACCCCACAGAAGCTCGGGGTGCCCCTTTGTAAGTCAGGCAGCAGCCTTTACGCCCCCACAGGGCCCCGCCTCTCAAAACCTGAGATTCTGGGGTGGTCCCCGGGCCTGGAGCCACCTGCCTGGTCCTTGATGGGGCAGTGGTGCCAGGGGTCTCAGGCAGGGCTCTGGGCCTGGCCTCGAGCTCCCTGGGGGCTGGGTGAGGGGGGTGCCCGACTGCCGGCTGAGCCCGCCCTCCTTGCAGCCGACCTGTTCGACATCCTGCTGCCCATGCTTAACATCTACCAGGAGTTCGTCCGGAACCACCAGTACAGCCTGCAGATCCTGGCCCACTGCAAGCAGAACCGCGACTTCGACAAGCTGCTGAAGCACTATGAAGCCAAGCCGGACTGTGAGGAGAGGACGCTGGAGACCTTCCTCACCTACCCCATGTTCCAGGTGGGGCCAGCCCCCTTGGCGGCGGCTCGGGCCTGGGGGGCCCTGGGGAATGGGGTTCGGGCAGCCCCCGGCCGGGGCCGGTCCGGAGCAAGCTGACCGCAGGCCTGTGCCGTTCCACCACGCAGAGAGTGGGGGGAACCGGGTGGGGAGGGGTCAGCTCCGTCAGGGGCCCTACCCCTCCTGGTCCCCAGCCCAGGCCAGGCCCTGCCTCCTGTACATGTGCTTGGACCTGAGAGAACCACTTCAAATGCCGTTCTGTCTCTTTGTCCCTGTCCCCGCCCCCCACTGCAGATCCCCAGGTACATCCTGACGCTGCATGAGCTCCTGGCCCACACGCCTCATGAGCACGTCGAGCGCAACAGCCTAGACTACGCCAAGTCCAAGCTGGAGGAGCTGTCCAGGTGAGTGGCTGTGGGCCCCCAGGGGACAGACCTGGGCCCAGGATGCTCCCAGGTGGCACCGCTCATGTACGGCATGGGACTCCTGGGGACCCTGAAGCAGAGGATCCCAGAGCTGTCCCCTCGTTTACAGCTCAAGCCCACGTGGGCACTGTGGGATAGCACCGACGGAGTTCAAGGAAGGCCCTGGGCACTCACACGGGCCATCTCCCAACACAGGAAGGAATCTGCCCATTTCCTCTGCTCTCCGGAGTTGGTGTGTGAAAGCCTGTAGCTCTAGGAGCCACGAGATGGTCCTGGGGGATCGGTCTTCATGTGCCCAGGGCTCCAGTCAGCGCAGGCCGTGTCGGGTGGGTGGGCCCTCGCGTCAGGCCCCTCGCCTGGCCCTCCCAGTCCCTGAAGCCCGGGCAAGCTTCCTCTGCAAGGGCAGAAGCAGGGACCCAGGGGAGAGGTGCTACCAACCGCAGGCAGGAGTGACGGTGGTGGCGGCGGTAGTGGGCTGAGGAGAAGGTTTCGGAGCTTCTGATAGGTTAGACGTGGGGCGACAAAAGACTGCAGTCCGGGTGAGCCCTGAGATTGTGGCTGAGCAACGAAGAGGGTGCATTTCACTGAAATGGAGAAAAGTGCAGGAAGGGGCTTGGGGGGGTCTCCTGCTTCTCTACAGCTTTCCCGGGGCCCTGAGGTGCACCACATGGAGGAGGTGACACAAAGGGAGGAGGGGCTTTGAGTCTGGAGTTTAGGGGAAGAGACACTCGGAGGCGTCATCAGCTCAGATGGTATTTCAAATCACAAGCTGGTGCGATCGCCGAGGGAGTGAGTTTAGGCAGAACCGAGATGGGAGCCGGGGCTGAGCCCGTGGCGGCCAGGAGAAGACGCGGGCCTTGCACTCAGGGATGGGCTGCAGAATCTGCAAAGGAGGGCCGGCCCAGCCCCCAGCCCTGCCAACCGCGCGGAGCCCGAAACGGCTTCTTGAGCTCACGCAGGCCCAGGGAGGAGGACCAGGGCGAGGCAGTACTCAAGATGTGATTGCGGGGTGGGTACCCCAGGCCTTATGCGCCCCGGGGAGCCAAATCCTACAACTCTCCCCAAAGGAGAGGTGGGACCCCGTGAGGCAGCCAGGCTCCTGTCACTGCCAGATGCCTGTCCCCGGGGCAGGTGGCACATGGGTGCTAAACGCTTGGGCCAAAGTCCCTGACCCCCTTTCTCCAGGGTCCTGCTGCGCAGCCTGTTCTTCCATTGCCCCCCCCCCCGTCCTCCCCCATCACCAGCACGTGGACCTGAAACCACACAGAGGAGGGCTTCCTGTTGCCATGACAACAGCCCTTGCACCACCTCTGCCTCTTAGGGTGGGGGGAGGCTGAGGAGACCTCCAGGCCCACAGGAGGCCCTCACATACCCGTTTGCCTGCCGCGCTCAGAACACTCCCCCTGGGGCTGGCTCTCAGCTCCCTCGGCCCTTGGTCCCCCATTTCTCCCAAACCCCCACCTGCTGGGCTCACTGATAACTGGCCATCTCCTCAGGCTCTGAAATTGGGCTGCCTTCCCAGAGCCCCGAGCTGCGTGTGCAGCGTGAGTCCCCCAACATGAACCCCAGCCTGGGGCTGGCCCCGTCCTGACAGGGGCCGTTACACATGGCTACCAGCAAAACGCCTGCTGCCACAGCAGAACTGCCCTCTTGATTTTGACCAAATGCACCCCCTTACTCAGTCCTCACCCTCATCTAGAGAAATGGGGCTGACTGTCTTTGGCTACTTCTAGGAATAAACCCCGTCTGGGGAACGCAGACAAATCCCGAGAGCTGCCCCCCTCACCACATACTCCTGGGAGAGGGCTGGGGCCTGGGCTCCACGAGAGCATTCTTGGGGGGCAAGAGGGGCCTGAGGCCCTGAGGGAGAGACCCCATCTCAAGGCCCCGTCTAATCAGCAACACAAGATCTGGAAACAACACTTTTGTACACTAACACTAACTCGGCCGTGATAATAGCAGGGTGATCGGCACCGTTTTTCGAAAACCCGTCATGGGCCAGGAACCAGGTTGGCACGTAACTTACACGACATGAACCCTCACTGCACTATTTCCCAGGCGGGGACACTGAGGACCCCAGTGGTAGAGGGACTGAATCGGCATGAGGCTGACCCCCTCGGCCACAAACCATCCTGTACAACCATCATCGCACCTTATCCTAGGCTTTGATACAGAGAACTGCCAGCTCCAGGCACAAACCATCCCTCAGGATGGCATTCATGACAGAAATTCACAGACAACTAAACATATACAAGACATCGTAATTTCTTAGAGTAGCTGGGGAACAGCTCAACACCTGCACCAAAAAACAACCCAATTTCCCCGAACACCTGGAGAACCATCACAAGCCTTAAGCAAATTCCCTAACACGTCCTGTTCCAACCAGAGATGTTGCTAAAAAGCAGGTAAATGCTGCCACCTCGTGGACGTGCTTGGCATAGCATGCGGCACAACAGGGACGGTTAGGACAGTCGTCTGTATTTTCAAACAGGGACTAAAGTGTCACCTCCCCTCGCATACCTGCCAGGATTACAAAAGTCACTGACGTCAGTCGCCCCTGAGCCAGCTGCTTTGCCAGGTCCTCTGAAAATAAGCCATTCCGGGGCCACTGTTACGGTAGCGCTGTAACTGTATCCGGGAGGAAGAAATACCAGTACCAAGGTTCTGAGCAGGAGGAGGCGGGGTATTTTTCCACACGTCCCACCGAAAATTGTCCCTCTGCTTTCCTCACTGTCCTGGGAATCGTTCAAGGCTCTTAGCAAAGTGACCAGCTCATGTTGGTATTTCCCGCCCACGATGTGGCTAAAAAGCAGGTAAATGCTGCCACCTCGTGGACGCTCCTGGTGTTGCAGGCGGCAGAACTGGGACACTAGGACCGCAGTCGTTCTTTTCATATAGCGGGCTAGTT